ATATATTGTTCATAATAGAGTGTTCAATTTCAAAATTTCAAAATTTAACATTCCCAAAGAAAATTAATATATTTTCAAAACTATATATACAAAAATATATATTTTTTTAATCAAAACACATATCTCTAATTTTAATGATTTTGTGTATTTTATGTTTTATATATTTTTATTTAATCGAAACTTGCAAAAGTTACGATATCTTACTTTTTAATAAACTTTCACCGTACAACTTTTGATATGTGATAGATGTTGTCAATATGAGCATTTTGATTGAAACATATTAAATTTTGATCAGTTAAATCACCTTGTTAAATTTGGAAGCTATATAATATAATATATATATAATAATATAATATAATTTATATTATATATAATATATATATTGAAAAAAATCATAGTAAAGAATTTCTCTACATTTCATGATTATTAAATTTCAAATATGATATTGACTTACATTGCATAGAAAATGTAGCATTTGTATATAAGCAAGGAAGGCTAGTTGTTGATGTTATAATTAATATGAGTTTGCTCTTAAAACATAATGTCCTGCATAGGAGGGTGGGCTGACGTGCTTCCATTTAAATAAAAGGTTGGTTGTATAATCCTAGTTATATTGTGTAATTGATTGATCAAATTACACGTACGAGTAGAAGATACCAACTCTTAAATGATTATTGAAAGCCACATGTGAAAATAAATGATTAATATAAGATTGATAGATTGATAGCAATCACATATAACATATGTAAGGAAGAAAACACCACATTAAAGCTGCATGTTCTGTCTTGCTTTTCATAATTATACTCATGATGATATTTACCTTGTAGTATATTACACTGCTTAATAGATATAACTGAACTTATACTGACACAAATATTGATACAACATAGTCTAACATACTAGCATGACTTATTGAGTGATTGTTATCTTTGCTAATTTTTTTTTATAGTTTGTTTATTGATAGATCTCTTTTGACTTTACTAATCATATTGATTTTATTATTAATTTTTGAGATTTTTATTGTTCATATTAAGTGATGATTGATAATGACTAGAATTGAACATGCATATTGAATCTTTTGTCTTGCATTGGAAGCAATGATAAAATTTTGGTTACTTGTTGGGCAATGCTAGTAAGTTAAAATTATTTAAAATTTTTTTTTCTCCATTAACATAATATATTAAAAGATTCATACCATGATTATTCGATAAATTTTACGCTGGTTGTTAACTACTTAATGCAACCCTTCGCTTTTCTTATGAATCATAATTAGATTAAAAAGATTTGAATATTATAAGCCATATATTATTATAGAATGAGTTTTTTTCTTAATTATAAAAAAACATTAAAATGATATTATAGGCATTACTAAAAATGGTATGCCCTATAATAATGCCAAGACAAGTCTTGTGATATAAGAGTTCTCATCCAACAATGGTGAATGGTCAAAAGGTTGCCCTCTTTATAGGATGTGAGATCAAGCAATTGGGAAGCCATGCATTAGAAATTGTTGTCGATTAGCAACATGTGTTGGTAGGCACCAAATAACAATCAATTGAGAACATCGGGCATTACACGGCGAGCGATGATCAGTGATATGCAATTGATCATTTTCTTTATATATGGGAAGATTGACGACTAAGAAGGTGCACATTGTATGTCGATGGATATCAGATATTGAACATTGATATGTATTAAGTAATAATAAATAATTAGGAATGTCAATCATTGGATGATAGTCAGTGGCTTGCTTTGTCAAAGGGGAGATTTCTTGTCACGACCCGACCCGACGGGGACGGATCCAGCCCGAGCTCGTCCAGACGATCCCACATTTCGTCCCGGACGAACTGCCCAATTTTCACAATTCTGAACAAATCTGTACCGATCGTCCCGGACGATCCAACTTCGTCCCGGACGAACCTGGAGCAGAACTGATATTACATTTATGACAATGGAAGTGGTTGGCGAATGCCATAAGTAAATGACTAATAGATAATGGACATTAACATGTTTCAAATGTCAACCAATTATGAACATTGAATGTTAGGAAACAATCGATGGTATGCTTGGTCATTTATTCTCATGAAAGATCATAATTGTAATTATGAAGATAGATGTCAGATGTTTATAGCTCATGAATGTTTAATGTTGTCAAAGTTTCGAATGACGATGGACTAAGAATGCCAAATATTGAGCAATGAATGATAGTGTTATCTATGGTTCTCCATTTAGGAGGGGTGATCGATGAACATAAATGCAATCATCTAATGTCGATGATTAGAGAGTCTCATTGAATGATAGTTGACTGAAAACATCAAACATCAAGGTAATGATTGGTGTTCTGTTTGGTCATTTCTCCTTACAGAATGGGAGAATAATGACCAAGAAGATGGTCAATAAACATTTGAGATTGGAGGATGTCAAACATTGTTATGCTCTGATTGATTCAGACATCAATATCTAAACATTTAGCAGTCTACTTCTTTGCTCTCAGTACATGAGGAGAAAGTATTATCTAATTATTTCTTAAATATTTAGATTGAGGTCTACTTTGTTGCTCTCCATATACAAGGAGAAACTATTATAGATTCAATCCATAGTACAACTAACCCAAATCTCTTTTTTAAAATTAATCCACATATTCTTAAGTAAGTTAGATTCCACAAATTAACCAGTATGAACATTCATACTTTAAGTAATAATATCTACTATTTTTACTTCAAATTCATAATAACAATAACAAGTTCCAATCTTTTAGTATCTCCATTCAAAATAATAATAACAAAATAAATAATTATGACTATTTTATTTAGTCAATGAACTAAAAATAATAATATATTTATGATCAACCATAAAATTACATTATAATAAACTTAAAATAATTATTTAGTACATGAATTCTAACTTAATTCTTACAAATTTCAGACGATTAGGCATTTCCATATCACTCAATTTTGGGGCCAAATGTCATTCCAGCCTTTCTCTTAATGTTCAGAAACCTTTTGAACCAAAGGGCTGAGTTCTTTTTAGTCCTTGTTCGATCAGGCACAATAAGCTCTCCTTCACTGTTTTTCTTCAATGTCTTGTCTTTGAAGTCTATATAATGAAGCCCTAACCGAGAAGTGTATCCAGAATTCCATTCAAAGTTGTCCAATAATGACCATGTAAAATATCCTTTCACATTTGCTTCCAACCTGCATGTTTTTTTTTAACGGTTCATAATAAAACATTCATATTCAAAATTATAACGGCATAAACCAGCATAAATTTTTTTACTTTGTTTTACAAGTATATTTTCTTTATGTTCAATAATTTAAAGAGAAAATGATCAATATGATCCATTAACTCTTTATAAAAGATCAAAATGATCCTCAACTATATTAAAATATTATTTTGATCACTAAACTCCTTAAAGAAGAACCACAGTAGTCCCAATTTAGTGACAAAAATGATCATTTGATATAGTTGGGGACCATTTTGATCCTTCATAAAGAGTCAGTGGACCATTTTATTCAGTTTACCTCAAGGCTTCAGTAAGTTCATGAAGGTGAAGGGTGAGATACTCCGTCCTATGTGGATCAACAATCGCCTCTGAAACTGGTAAGTTCATATCTTTCTCCAGTACTCCTATCAAGATGAAAACAACAGGTGAAGATCAAAGATTAAATACATATTAATATCATCAAATATTTATCTCTTATATGATTTTTTTTTTAATTTCTTAAGTATTGACTAACCATTTTCAGTGATGTAAATTGCAGGATTGTTATATCTTTCCTTTATGTATAAAAGAAGTTCCCTCAGTCCTCTCGGATATACATTGATCCAACTTCCAGGCTGCAAGTTAATTATAACAAAGTAAATTATTATAAAGTATAGGAATAAGAAGAAGAGAAAATTAGAAGTGAAAATACAATTTTAGGCTTCGTTTGAGACCGTTTTTTTACTACTTTCTAAAATAGCTTTCTAATACAAAAATTTCTACTTCAAGAAATATTTATACTAAAAAGCCGTTTTAGAAAGCAACAGGAAAGCTGTCCCAAAAAAAAAAAAAAACCATTAGGGCATTTCCAACCAAAACCCCATTTTCCACTCTAAAATGTCTTAAAACTTCGAAATCAGGTAGTTCATCTCCAATGGAAGTCCATTTTTCTTTTTTTAGCGCGCTTCTTTGCAAAGGTAACTATCTGTCTCCTATTTCACGCGCTTCCTGCGAAGCTAAGCAGAGCAAAGGTAACCGTTTTTTTTTTTTGCATAGGTGGACAGTCTGACGCCAATATTGACGTCACACTGTTCACCTATCGATTTTTTGCGTGAGATTTGGAGTTCGAATGCAGCGATTCTCGAACAACATACAATGATATGCAGTTCGGATGGAGATGATCTTAACGGTTTACCTCTGCGTGCTCAATGGGGACGCCATTCCTTTCTAAATCTTGAATATCAAAGGACATATTCATCCTTTAGTATTTTTAAAATTTGACTTTGAGAATTCAAAATTTTGGTTCATCATCAAGCATTGATGTTCTATTAGATGTAAAATACATATAACATATGAAAGATTTGAAAAGATTGAATTTTCACCTCCAATTTAATTCCTTTAGATCTTAGTTCAAAAAAAAAAACAAAAAAAAAAAAAAAGAAATATATATATATATATGGGCTTCATTTGGGATAGTTTTTTGCTGCTTTATAAAATAGTTTTTTAGTAACAAAATTTCGTGGATTAGAAATTTTTGGACTAGAAAACTGTTTTAGGCTTCGTTTGGATCGGCTTTCTTCCTGATTCTTATAGCAGCCTTAATACCAAAATTTAAATTTTTATACTAAAAAGTTACTTTAAGAAGCAACAAAAAAGCTGTCCCAAACAAAACCTTAGAAAGCATAAAAAAATTGTCCCAAATGAAGCCATAGTAATGAAATTACCATCCCAAATTAAATTCAAGTGCTCTCTTTTGTGCCTCTTTATCGGTGGGGTTGTTATCATATGGCTCAAACCAATTTGTGGGCAAGCTGATACCCACTTTTCCTTGTTGCTTGGCCTGCAAAGTGAATAATTAATCTATAAGAAAAAAATTATGTAAAATCCTGATGCATGGGACATATTCTCAAATATCTTTTGTCATGTTTATATATATATATATATATATAAGAAAATTTTTTAATTTCCGATGGCTATGACCGCCAGAAAACCGCTGGTTTTAGTTTTCTAGTTTATAATAGCAGAAAAAAATATGCCGAAAAACCTCATTTCTGCCGGAAATTAGCTCAATTTTGTCAGAAAAATCTACCGGTAATGACCAATTTTCCTGTACTGTATGCATGCATGTATGTATATATATATAGCTAGAAGTAAATATAAAATGCAAGGAAACAATAAAAGGTGGTAAAAACCTGATATTCATCTTTATATAGTCTTGCTGCTTCAGAATGAGCTAAGAGAATGTTATGAGAAACAATATATGGCTCTCTCAAAGAATCTCCTCCAGCTGGGCAACTAAGATTAGGAAGCCCTTGAGTGCATCTACCTGGAGCAAGGATTCCTTCACCATATCCAAGTGTAGAAAATGTCAATGGTTCATTTATGGTAATCCAATTCTTAACCTTATCTCCAAATTCTTCATAACATAATTTTGCAAAGTTTTTGAAGTCCTCTCTGCCAAATATAACTGAAAGGATTAGCATATATAGCCTCATGCAATATATATATTGATCATGGATGCACAATATGACTTACACAATTCTTTTATCCAAAAAGCCTCCATATTCATCTTCTAGAGCTTGTGGCAAATCCCAATGGAACAATGTTACAAATGGCTCTATTCCTGTAAGATACAAATATGCAAATAGAACTATGAGTTCATTGTAGGAAAAATGTTGATTTCCGATAGAATTTTTTATGGAAATAAATCCGTCGGATTTTCTGGCGAATTTCTGATGATATATTTCCTGCAGTTTTAGTTTCCAGCGGAATTTTCTTGCTTATTTATGGTGGATTTTTGATGGAATTTAAAATTTATGCAGGCCTGTTCATGTCCCACGGGTTCGCGAGCGGGCTTGATTCACAGACTAAATTATGAATTTTTTCAAAGTAATTTCCAGCCGTTGGAAATGTCTCCGGCGGAATTTTTTCGACGGTATTTATGTTACGTACGACTTACGACGCGTGAATTACCATCTGAAAATTTTCTGTCGGAAATAAAAATTATCAACGGCCGGATTTTAGTCATTTTCACGCGGAAATGGACAATGGATGAAAAATGACGTTTTTCCAGTAGTGATTCTAAAGAATATAAGAAATAAATATGAAATCATAAATTTATTCACTCACCATAGTCATGGAGTTCATCAATCAAATTCTTGTAATATTGAATTCCTTCAGGGTTTACTTTGCCACGACCATCTATAAGCACATCAAGCAAGAACATCCTCCATAAAAACTCAAAAAAAAAAAAAAAAAACCAAAAAAAAAAAAAAAAAAAATGGTGAAGAAGAGGATGAAAGTTAATACAAACTTGGCAAAATTCTTGGCCAGGAAATGGAGAATCTATATGCATCCATGCCGAGATCTGCTAACAGTTCCACATCCTCCTATAATTTCAAGGAAATCATAAACTAAATAAGTAAAAAAAAAAAAAAAAAAGAAATCTCATAAGCTGTTGAGCTCACTATTCTCATACCTTGTAACGATGGTAAGAGTCGCATGCAATGTCTCCATTGCTTCTATCTGCAATTTTTTCTGAAATAGAGAAGAAATTAATATAAGCTTTCATGAAAAAAATGTTTTTTTTAAAAAAAATTGGGTAAGTTTTGAAGAGCAATGCTGATATGTTGAAATCAAGAGAGTATATTAATTATATGGGCAGATATTGAGTTATTTTTATTTCATATAAAAAAAATAAAATTGAATTTAAAAAATAAATTATTGATTTATGAGATGTTGAGAATTTATTTATTTAACAATATTATTATTACTATAAGTATTTTTTTCATTAATTTTGAGTAATATTAGATTAATTGCTAGACTTTAATACATAATTCTTATATATAAAGACTTCCTTTTCATTTGATGGCTAATTGTCTTGAAACAAAATAATTAATCATCAAAGAAATTTCTAATTAAGATAAGTCCTTTCATAAAAAATTAAGAGGTGAACCAATAAGTTAGAACAAGTCAATGTCTTTTGTTGAATTATGGCTTATTTAATTTTTTTTTTCTCAATTTGGTTGATCAAATCGCATCATTAGAAATAAACGAAAGTGACATGAAGATAAGATCGACTAACACGTAGCTCATTTTGATTTGTTGGTCGGGAGCTTTGGTTACCAACTAAGAGGCATTGGGTTCGAGTCTTATATATGTGATGTGCGCATAATTTGTCGCACGTAATTAAATTATTCATAATATTAAGCATTCATCTTAACATTATAATTTTTGCTATATAAGCTCAAGTTAATTTATATATTACATGTTAGTCGCTAGAATTAAAAAAAAATCCTAGCATATAGCTCTATATTATCATTATTATTATTATTATTTTGTAAGAAGCAATCTATGAAAATTGGTTCATAGAACTCAAGGCCATGGATGAAATTAACTATAAGAAGTGATTTATGAAAATTGCATGATAAATATTTTAGATATAGGCTCTTTGTAATTAAGAGCTAGCTAATCAGCTAATTAAATTTTAATTTTTTCACTAAATCTATAAGATAAGATTAGAGAGAGTTGTCTTAGATGATTTGATTACATAAAATGACGGTCTTCTGATGACCTGGTTAGGAAAGTTAATGTATTATATTTGACTTATATTAAGAAAGGTTGAGGCAGACTTAAAAAGACTTAGCTAGCTAGAAAATATTAGAAATGATATTTTTTATTAGGTTTAAATGAGAATTTGACTTTTAGTAGGACACAATTAATGGAGAAAACAGATTCTTCGTTTGAGATGACTTTCTTATTGCTTCTTAAAACAACTTTCTAATTTATTTTTAAATAAGAAAACCGCTTCAATGAGCAGTAAGAAAGTCATCCGAAACGAAGCCTAAATCTCCAAAAAAATTGAGGTAAAACCTGGGTATTTTTTGCAGAAAGTAGTCCATATGCACTCTCCCCTCCCTCCAAATGAAAAAAAAAAAAAAAAAAAACATACATGAACAAAATGCTCACAATCAACAATATCATCATTATTATCATTTTCAATCGACTTCTTTTCTCCTACTGTGCATGCTAACATTTATATGAAAAGATCTTATTCAATTACCTGGAGAAGCAGCAGTAGAAAGCACCAAAGAGAAAACGAGAGGGGAAGCTGATTCTACCAAGCCTGGACGATACCTCCAATGTCCTCTCAGGAGAGAGACTCATTTCCATTTCCTGCGCTTCGAGCAAATCAAAAGCTTTCTGCTAGCGCTCAATACTAAGGAAGAACCACCCTATTGCTCTTAAAAGCCAAGAGATTTAGAACACCATGTGCTGCTGCTTACTGCTAAAGCTTGAATAGGAACAGTAGTATTTCCAAGTGTCAAAACATTACTTAGAAGATTAGAGAGCAGTTGGGGCAACTAGCTTTTGAGTAAAAGGAAAGAGGTTGTATTGAGGAAATGGTTATCTTGGAAATTTATATAGAGAATGATGAATATAGATAGAATAGATCCTCATACATTTCCAATAAACTTTCTGCTTCTGCTTTCTACTTCTCGATCGAAATGGGCTTTACTTTTCCTCCGCCAATTAACTTTGCTCAATTGCACTATTGATTTAACTAAGAAAATTCAGATGAAAAACTGATTAAGTTGAAGAAATTTTAAATTCTTTTTAGTAATTTTAAGTAAATACCAATTAGATTCAAATGACCTTCTTTTTTAAAACCTGGTATATTAGTTTTTTAAAAACAAATGCAATGTTTATTTACGGAAAGTAAAAGTAGTTAAAAGCCATAAATCAGAGAATATCTTGGCAGATGTATACACAATCTACGTCGGAGGCAAATCGGGCACCACGTCACGATACCGAGCTATGGTACCGAGAAGATACTTGGCACATTCTAGTGATCTACGAACAACAATTAGTAATTTCCATAATTACAGTTTGCAATCTATTGCTCTCACTCAGAATATTTATTGATTTTAGCAGAATATGTTAATTATGAATTTCTTAAAGAAAAAAATAAATATTTTTTTAAATAATTGAATATTCATCTCAATAATTAAATTTAAAAAGAAAGATGTATCCAAAATGTAATATTCCTCTCGTAATTATAGAACTGAAATATAAAATATGATTTGTTTAATGACTTCTTACCTTTAGGACTAAGTTTTTATAGGCTATTGTTTATTATTTTGATGGCTAAAGAATGTTGCTTCAAAAACAATTAATAAAAACTTTTCAAATCAAGGCTAAGTGAGATTAAGTCCGTTTCAGTTATGAAGCTTATTTGAGGATATAACTTTTTAACTGTTTTAAAAGTAGTTTTTATTAACCCAAAATCTAAAAGTACCAAATATATATTATGTACTATTAAAATTTTATTAGTATATAAATATATAATATAAAATAATGTACCCTCCTAAATTTATATTTAGCACACATCAATAGATTTTGAATTAATTTTTTTCATATTTGTGTCCACAACTCACTGTATCCCAACATAATTGAGTTTCATATAACATTGCTCTGATTGACTTTAAAATGATATATATATCATCCATTATCCACTATTTAAGTGGATCATGAAATCAATTCATAATCTTCATATTAAAATAAAAAAAAAATCATAAATGCTTTAGAAGTAACTATAAAACACATTATAATTATATCCTTATTGGTAATAATAACTTGATATGAAATATAAGTTGGGTAAATGGGGAAGAAAATTTATGAAAATACAAGAAGAATTTATATTGATATTATTATTTTTAAATTTGAGTTATAAGTTGAGAAAATTTTATTAAATTTGGATTCTTTTGAGGACAGCCTTTTTACCTGTTTTGTAAATAAATTTTTAGTACAATGGGAAAGTATTTAATAATTAGATTTTTTAAATTAAAATTCTAATACTAAAAATATTAAAAAAGCAATAAGAAAGCATATGCAAACAAAATCTAAATTCTTTAGCTATTAATTGGGCGCAAAAAAAGAAAAAAAAATATTATTGATAAAATGATTGAAGAGAACTATCACATTGACGACTTAAAAAAAATAAAGCTTATCATTATAACTGTTCATTAATTGACAAATAGCGCAGAGAAGAAGAGAGAGAGAGAGAGAGAGAATTAGAGGTGTTTCCAGAGAGAGAGAGAGAGAGAGAGAATTAGAGGTGTTTCCATGCGCCACATTTTGTGATTGAAAAAATTGGTAAGAATTTCTTTGACTAAAATTTAGTCAGAGTGAAATTCAAAATTTGGTATTTATTTTAAAACATGTTTAATAAAAAATATTTGATTATTTATGTTCTAATTAATTTTCTTTTTCAAGAAAAATCTCTCTTCAACTTCTCTCTTATAAAAAGAAAAAAAATATTGGGTTTGAATTTTCTTAATATATTTATCTCAAAATAAATTTAAATTTAAAAATCATCATGTTTAAATTTATTCAGAAAATTTTAAGATTTTTAAGAAATAAGCTGAGGGAAGATTTGTGTAAAAAAGGAAATTAAGTAGAATGATTTTTTTTTTTACTTATTAATTTTTCTTTGAGATAAAATTAAGGATAATTAATCAATCAATTCAAAATTTGCATTCATCATCTTCAAGAAGCATAAAATCAGAATTAGGTTAGAATTTTGTAACATAGAAGTTTTAAGAAAAAAGTTTTCCTCTTTGGTTCATCAATCTCATCTATAAAGCATTATCATCATTATGCTCTTTTAGATTAAGGGTTCATTTGTAAAATTGTTGCGAAGAAAGTATCTTTTTAAAAGCTACTATAAAAAATAATATTCTTACACAAATTTATTGAAAGCAATGAAAAAATAATGACCAAATAAAAATTATGATTGCTTTCTAAAAAGCAAAACAGTGAGAAAATTGTCACTAACGAACCTTAATGCTTCGTTTGGGACAACTTTCTTATTTTTTTTATAAAGCTATTGTAAAAAAAAGTAACTAAAAATATTGTAGAAAATAACTTTATAACTCTTTTTTTTTTAAAAACAACAAAAAAAATAATGATCAAATAAAAAAACTATGATTATATTCTGAAAAACATTATAAGAAAGTTATAAGAAACAAAACCTCTTTCATCATGGATTTCCAAGGCAAAAGCTCTTTTTGGTA